AAGTTTCTAATTATGCTTCAAGTATTTGATTTAGGCTCATTTTTACTTGGATCAAAATATTTTTTGTGGTATGAGGATCTTCTAGTCAAAATATTTATTTCAATCATAAGTTTGTCGAAATTAGAATTTAAATGATTATCATGAATTTAATTCGGAAAGTTTTCAATTCAAGTAGTACTACGTGATTTGTGTTTCGTTAGATGAGTTTTCACTGATATATCATTTGCTCTCTATTTTTTTATTGACAGAATATGTGGTCCTAAAATAAGTGGAGTACTAAATTTTGTTGTGCAAAATTATAATTTAAAAAAGATTTATAAGGCACGACCACTCCTATACACACATGGATCTCTGCTTGGAGTAGTTAATTAGATAGTCTCCCTTAATCATAATTACACCCTTATTTAAACCGCACATCAGTTGGAGAAAAAATAAAAAAAAAAATTTACTACACAAAAAATTGCTAAAATTTGATAGCGTAGTTTCAATTGGACCAAAAAAACTGTCAAAATTGAGTTTAAAATGATAAAAATAATCTTTGGAACACAAAAAAAATCAACGATGTCCTATATGGGCTTGGAAATAGAGTGATTATTCTGTACGGTATCCGAATGTTTTTGGAAGTCAATTTGGAAGCATCACGTCATCCAATGCACTGTACATTGGATGATGGGGTGCGCCCAATTTAGCCTCCAAACACATCCGGATACCGCACGTAATAATTTTTCTTAGAAATAGTATTTAACGCACAAAGGCAACTACTAACAGGCTTGTAGGCTGAGCAATACTAGCCAATAAGGTGTTAGCAACATCACTAGTAGGTGGTGACATGTGTTGTATAGCACCTGCACTTATACGCTAAGAGGTGTTTGTTGTTTTTATTCTTTTAAAGAAATATTACACTTCATTAAAATCATCTCTTTTTGGAGCAATTATTATATTCGGTGTCCGAATGCGTTCAGAGACCAATAATCATGCGCCACGTCAACTAAAACTCGGTATTGCTCGGTATACATTCGGATCATTCGGTTTTTGACCGGATGTAATAATTTCTCCTCTTTTTGAATGTTTTCCTGGCTAGTTTTTAGTCTGTTGTGAGATGAGAAGAGTCATGGGTCGCATATTATCAAAATTTATTTTATGAGATGCCACATCGTATTGTTACCTCGAATCAGAATTTTGCACATTACATCGCATTCGTTGTCACATATAATTACACATGCATACTGCTCCAATGGTTAATTACATCTTGGAGAATACCTAATAGCACTATCGATTAACGAAATATTACTTGTGTTCTAAAAATCTTTAAATAAGATCCATCAATGAGTAATCTTGTCATCTCAATAGAGGAAACCTTACGGAGTTGAGGGAGAATCACCGTATTCTTATGGGCGATCACATTTCAACGAATGAAGACCAATAAAATGACACCAAAGCGATATATCAAAAAATGAATGGGGGAACATTCTATATGCACCAAAAATGATGCTAACAAACTTTTCTATTTCTTATAATAACTTGTTAAAAATATATTTATACATTAATAACCAAAAGAATGATTAAAATTTTATTAAAAAGTTAAAATTTAAAAAATAAAGAAAAATTAATAACTTTTCTTTTATTTTTCACCTATAAATAATTTTTATAGGAGGGGAAAAAACTCATGCAAAGAGTTAAAATCCATCACTATTGGAAACACGCGATTACCGTTGGACTTTCCGGTGAAATTTTTTGCGTCGGTAAATACGGCGTTTGTACCGGCGCATAATGCGAAGGAATAATAACGGCGTTTTTTCCGCCGCATCATGCGACGGAAAATTTGCGACGTCCAATGCGCCGGTCGTAGCATCGGAATATAACAGCATTTCATTCTTACAGGCGGATTTTTGCGGCGGAATATGTCCGGCGTATTTACCGGCGAAATATGTCCGATGACATGTACCGGAAAAGGCCGACGGCAAATGCGCCGGAAGCTAGTCGTAGCTTTAGTTACGGCGCACCTTACGACGTCTTCTTCGCCGGCGTTTTCCTACGCAACAATAGCGCTGGAAACAAGCCGTAGCTTTAGTTACGGCGAACCTACAGCATTTTATCGGCCAGTATTTTCCGTCGGATATGTACGTTGTAAAATTCCGGCATATATATCGCCGGAATAATCGGTTAGGAAACGACGTTTTGGCTAACATATTTTGCGCCGGTAATGCGTCGGAGAGTGCGCCGGAAAGGTTTCTGACGTCTTATAAACGTCGGAAGACATTTTCCGACGCGCACCAAACCGGCGTACCAAAATCCGACGGAAATGCGCCGAAAACCAAGGCCTTCTGTCGGATTTTACGTGTTACCGGCAGATATGATTCGCCGGTAATACCGTGTTTTTCTGTAGTGCATATGGAAAAGCTCCACCTTTTTTTAGGAGGTTAACCATCTTCATTTCCATGCATTGAATTCAAGGTATCCAAAATTCTTAAACCCTATGATGGATTCTCGATTTTCTTCTGAAAGATGGTTATATATCATCATTTAGAGTCTTAGACTAATGGAATTTGGGATAAGAGTATTTATTTACCTTATTTTAAGACTCTAATTTTGTACTCTGAAGCTGTCATTTGTCCTCAACATCACATCCTTAACGTGGAGATGTAATAACATCAAAGAGAGGATGTAATTTTGCACACTGAAGTAGTCATACTCATACATCTTCAATATCACCTTAATGCGGAGATACAAAAATAATACAAAGAGGCCTCCCCTTCACCCAAGCTCCCGAACCAACACAACAATTCATATTGTACATTGATCATTTAATTTGTGATCCATTTTTATATTTATTTGTGCATTTTTCTCAACATTTTAGTTTTTTTGTGCAAAATAATCATGCGTAAGTTTATGTATCTTCTAAAGATTTTTGTCATAAAATTCTATTATTTTGATTTTTTGAAGAATTCTTATTTTTAATATATTGACATTGTAATTATAATATTTTGAATGTGGTGAAACTCTAAGTTCAATCCAGTTGTCAAAAATCCTATTATTATTATTATTTTTAATATCTATTAATTTTGAATGTCAAAACACTATCACTTGGTAGGATAAAAAAAGAAAAAATAGCAATATCACTAATTAAATCTAACATTTTGCATCATGTGTAAGTTTATGTATCTCCTAAAGATATTTGTCATAAAATTCTATTATTTTCATTTTGGGAAGAATTCTTATTTTTAATACATTGACATTGTAATTATAATATTTTGAATGTGGTGAAACTCTAAGTTCAATCCAGTTGTCAAAAATCCTATTATTATTATTATTTTTAATATCTATTAATTTTGAATGTCAAAACACTATCACTTGGTAGGATAAAAAAAGAAAAAATAGCAATATCACTAATTAAATCTAACATTTTGCTAATTGCACCCTTCAAAATTTCTTGCAACTTATATACAAGGTATAATTAGTTAAAATTGTGTAGATGATATCCTTAATATTTAGTTCCTATACATTTTTTTTGAATAACTATTCATCAGTAATTATTATGTAGATTATATTGATCAGTTCGTTAAAAAAATATATGAATAAGTTTGAGTTTCTTAGTTTTTTTCTCGTCAATGGAAAGTACACTTCATGAAATGTGACTTCTTAAGATCATTCATGTTTTTTTTTAAACATTATTTAACTTATAATTTTTCAAAATTTTGGCAAAGAATAATGCCAAAATTTTCCAACCTCCTTATGAAGCACTTATATAGAAAAAAATCGAAATCCATCCTTATAGATGATAATGATCTAAAAACGTTACATGAAGGGAAAGGAGCTAATGATATGTTGTTTGCCACCATTAATGATGCTTTGATGGTTTTTAAAAGAAAAAAAAAATAGAATTTCATGTCATTTCCTAGAAGAAATGAACGAGCATATTCTTTGCCCCAAACCTCAGAATTGATCATGATCTTTATAACATGCTAAGTTATCATGTCTTGTGTTTGCACAATTATGATAATCATTGTATAATTAATAATCTTCTTCATAGAGTGTGGAGCAATGCTAAACCTAGATATTTATCTTGGATATGCAAATTCACATGCAATACATAAGGTTAGATTTCTTGAAGGAGAAAATGGTTGATTTTTAGACAAGAGATCTAGCAAATAAATAGTTTACAAAAATATTTGTTAAAAGTGAATAAAACTTTCATAACAAATAGGATAGATTGATTAAATTTCATATTCTATTTCACATTGGAGATCAGAAAATGTTGAAGATTATTAATATTTTCAGCATTATAATTCTTCAAGATAAATTACATTTTATTAATAGGCACATGAATAAAGATAGTTTATTCAATGTTGATCTTTTCGTTCATCCAAGAAGGTCTTATGATCTCATGTTGAAGAAATTTAATAAAAATCATGAGGTGATCGCCTATGCTCTGAAGATTTCTTATATTCATGAAAAACTTTAGAGTACTTGAAACAGAGAAGAAAGCTTTTGAAGTTTATTTGGTGTAAATCTTTTTGAGCCATCATATATATTTTATTAGACTGTAGTGTTATTTTATGAAGTTAACCTACGATAAAAAAAGTCAAATCAAATTAAACTTTGCTGAAAAGGTTGAATTGAATCCCCATAGTATATATAAAACACACTTCTTGGATAATTGTGAGAGTTTGTATGTTTATAGGCCTTTATTGTCTTTTTGACATTATGACTTTGCTTAGGAAATAGAAGTTCATTAGGTGATTATATATATGATTCAAAATTTACTAGAGTTTTTTTTTTTTTGAGATTCATCATAAAAATAATTGCAAGTAGGCATGGGCAGATCCCCCATGTGCTTAGGGTGGGCAAATGCCACCCTAAAAAAATATTAAATATTTAGAGGGGATATTTTAGAATATTTTGAGTATTTTAGCTCCCGTAAAATTTTTTTTGCTCTAATTTTATCAATCCTAAACATCTTTGTCAATTTCCCAAAAAATTTAATTTTATCAATCCTAAACATCTTTGGGAGGAAATAGTACTGAAGATTGCGGTCTAACCAAGATAGGCCATGCTGCTCAACCACACACCAAACCACCACTTCCCAGATCACACCCCTCTACCGTTCCAATGCCGACCTCCTCAGCCCCTCTCTTCCTCTCGCCGGTGACCCTAATCCACTCCTTCTCAATCCCTTAATGCCACTGCCACCTCCTCTACGGCCACACCAATGGCTTCTTTCCTCCCGTCCTCCCCCTTCATCCTCGTTCCCCTCCCCCGCTTTCTTTCTACTTCCCCTCACAAATCCCTCAACACTCTACTTCTCCCTCCTCCCCGCTCTAACCTCGTAGACTCCGCCCCCTCAGCCCCTCCTCTCTCCGTTGGCGTCCGCGAGCAGTTCTATCAAGTGCTCGAAGTCTTGCCTGACGGCGCTGCCTCCCCAAAATCCGTCAGCCGCCGGCAGCTCCTGAAATCCAGCGGCCTCCGCCTCCGCGACCTACGCAGCGTGGATCCCTCCCTCTTTCTCATCAACTCTTCCCCTTCTCTACTTGTCCGCGACCACGCCCTTCTCCTCAATTTCGGCTCCCTCCGTGCCATCGCCATGCCCGATCGCGTCTTCCTATTTGACCATCACCGCCGCGGCGCCTCTGCCTTCCTCCGCTTCCTACTCCCTCGCCTCTCCGGCGCCGCCATGCCCTTCGAGGTCGAGGTCATCGAGGCCGCCCTGATCTCCCGGATCCAGCGTCTCGAGCAGTGCCTCCTGGCCGTGGAGCCTCGCGTAGCCGAGCTGCTTGACCTATTGCCCAACCGACTCACTGCTGACGTCCTCGAGGAGCTCCGACTCAGCAAGCAGACCCTTGTCGAGCTCGGATCCCGCGCCGGCGCGCTGAAGCAGATGCTGCTCGATCTGCTCGAGGATCCGCAGGAGATCCGCCGCATCTGCCTAATGGGAAGGACCGGATGCGTGCTACGCAGAGGGGAGGAGGGCAGGATCGAGTGCGAGGCAGCGGTAGAGAGGCAGGTGGCCGAGGAGGAGGAGGAGGAGATCGAGATGCTGCTTGAGAACTATCTGCAGCGATGTGAGTCCTGTCACGGGCAGGCTGAGCGGTTACTGGATTCCGCAAGGGAGATGGAGGATTCGATTGCAGTTAATTTGAGCTCGAGGAGGTTAGAGGTGAGCAGGGTGGAGCTGTTGCTCCAGGTGGGGACTTTCTGCGTTGCCGTCGGTGCGCTTGTGGCGGGTATTTTTGGGATGAATTTGAAATCGTACTTGGAGGAGCATGTCTTTGCCTTTTGGCTGACGACGGCCGGGATTTTGGTCGGCGCCGCTGCTGCCTTCTTTATCATGTATTACTATTTGAGGGCGAGGAAGATATTATAGCCATGATTGGAAAGAAGCGAGCTGGAGTTGAATGTTTTCCTTTCTTGGTATGCTATCCCTTTTTTAATCTTGGTATGCTATCTTACTTTACCTTGTTGTAGATAAGGCATGAATGGGCGAAATGTGCTTTGCTGGATGTCTGCGAGTATTTAAGTCAGGGTGCAAATTCTCTATACTTACCATAATAAATTAATAATTATAGATGTGTAATTCATCATTCAAGCTGCAAATTCACTTTTAATGCATGTTTTTAACTTCATTAACATTAGAACGGTTTTGAAGAAGTAAAATGGATTCAATCCCAACCGTTCAACTAAGATTAGTGAATTGCCTCTCTATATTTGTAGAGGATCCAAACCCCTAGATTGGATAGTAACCGATAAATTCTAAGTTTAAACATATGATACTATTGTGTTTGGCCTTATATTGAATAGTTGAAAAGTATTTTGGTTCTGAAATAACAAATGGTTAGCTCTGATCTATAGGTTGAAGTTTTAGGTTGACAAAGAGTTTGACATCAGTAGAGGCAAACTTTGATTCCCCTTTAACTCACTCCCTAACCTCTTAGAAATTTGGATTATTAAATTTTATGAGGGTTTAGATCCTAAATTTTTTTTGGGTATGATATTAGCTAATTCTTTCTGAATCTTGATTAACTATTTTGTTTAGGGTTTCAAGATTTAGAATTTAAATATAAAATATGATTATCAACATGTGCTATCAAGCCTTAAACTGATATTGGCTTCTCGGACAAGTGACAATTACACCAAATATAAAGCTTCATCACCCACTTATTAGCCAAACTTTGTTGCCTGCACCTTTTCTTTGGCTTCATTTTCTGCTCCTTAGCTTACTTTACGGGTAAGACTTCAATTCCCACTCCTTAGTTGTTTGTGTCGTATGCACCTTTCTATGACTGTATTGGCTGCTCTTTGAGCATGGGTTTACGCCTTGCATGTCATCATTATGCATTTCTTTGGCAACATCTTTACAAATTTGTGATTTAGTAAAGCACAACCTTCTAGATATCTTTCACTTAAAACTTTGATGGCAAAGCTTGATATATTTCTGCAATTCCCATAATGATTTAGTTCATAGCCTCAAGTGAGTATCTATGTTGATATTCATGGAGTGATCATGTTTTGAAAATTTTCTTATATTATAATTTTGTAGAGCAAGTGTACTAGTTATTAGGGATATTTTTGGGCTTGCAAGTTTAGGTGTCCAAAAATAGGATTGTGATTCCCCTTCTATTGCAAATTTTAATGAGGCACTAGTTTAGATCGACTCTAAGGAACTAATTTGATACGAAGTTTTACTTCGACATGTTTAAAAAAGCTCAAAATAATACAAAAATTATCATATAAGGCATTACACATAACATTGAGTATTTATATCGCTGAATTGTGGTTTAAAGGCCCCTAAACTATTGAATGGGCTCAAAGTAGCTTGTTTTGAGATGAATTGGATTGATTGAATTAGCCATGCTTCCCTTTCCATTCTGTAAGATACACTGTCATATGAGGGCAATAGCCTTCTTGCTGCCATTGTCACTATAGATGTTAAGGGGTTGTCGAATTCTACATTTCCCTGTTAGATTCGACATGGCTTGGATGCCAAAAACCTATTATTGCCTATGCATGATCTTTCCCCTATGCAACTCATTATGAGAGATATGGGATATTGTTTTTTGTCTAGTGCAACTTTCGATGGGATATTTTTAGTAGAATTTAAGTTGGATGGTTGAAGTGTAGGAATGCATCAGGCTTGTTGTGTGATAGGAAGGTCCCCCTCAAATTTAAGGAAAAATTCTATAAGATGGTGAGACTTACAATGCTTTATGGTGCAAAATGTTATCCATTAAAAGTGAAGCATAATATTAAGTTATGTGTTGCAAAGATGAGGATACTTAGGTGGATGAGTGGTTTTACTCTTAAAGACAGGATACAAAATGAGCAATATATGTGAAAATGTTGAAGTAGCTCCAGTGGAAGATAAGATTAGAGAGAATCTTCTTTAGATGGTTTGGTCACATAAAACGGCGGCCTTCTAATGACCCGGTTTGGAAAGTAGATGTATTAGATTTGACTTATGTTAAGAAAAGGTAGAAGTAGACCTAAAAAAACTTGGTTAGAAAATATAGAAATGACCTTTCTTTATTAGATTTAAATGAGAATTTGACTCTTAATTTGACACAATGAAAAAAAAGATTCATGTAGTCGATCCCACATAGTAGAATAAAGACTTGTTGTTATTGTTTTAGACCCATCTCCCAACCCTCCTCAAGATGTTACCATAGTTTTCTAACAACTTCAATTAACAAGTGACAACCCTTCTTGAAATTACTCATGTTAATCCAACCATTAAAATATCCATTGGTTTCAATTGATGCATTTGCAGAATCAAGATTTGTGATTTCATATATTCGTACTATCGATCAAAGACATTGTTGTAGCAGTTGCCACTTGATCTCTATTGACTAAACATTGTCAGACTACCCAAGTCACTGATTTGTATGAGACGGTTTGGTCAGCTTAGGTGCGACATCGCTTGATCTCGACTTGATCATGAGAGGATGTGATCTCCACCATTCTTTGTTAGTAATCATGATGAATATTCTAAATGAAGATCATAATGTCGTTTGTGAAAATTAAATAACTCCATATTCATTTTGGGAGATTTTTCTAGGTCTTAAGATAACAGAAATTCTTTTGCACACTTCATTATGTTAGATTTATGTCGTATCCCTCACCCGTAAGACTTGTATTACAGCCCTTGACCGTAATGCCTATGCTGTAGCCTTCTCTTGTAAGATTTTTATAGGTTTAAAGATTACGACAAGCAACACAATCTATGCTGATGCTACCTTGGTATACTGTTATTTACATTATCCGTGGATTTTGTCGGCCATGGCTTCACATGCTTATAATGCACTTACAACCCAAGCATGGGAGGATTAATCTTGGTGCTCTCGAGAGTCCTTTTTCTTACTGCTCAAGAGGTATGTTATATCAATGTCCCTTATACTGTCCTCCGGTGGATTGTAATTTTCTGAGAAATAGTAGATCTTTGTAATTAGGCTTTGTCCTCTTATTTCTCTCCCTCTTGTGGTGTTCCATATATAAAATCTCATCTCCTCTGCCTAACTTATTTTGTGCACTAGATAGGACAAGCTTAGGTGATCGAGATCAATCCTTGTTTTCCTTGTTTGATTTCCTACATGCAAAAATTATATTTCTTGTTATTTATCCTTTTAACCATCTTTATACTCTCATTTTCCCCTCAAAAATCCCTTGGCCACCGCGCAAGAAAGTAAGTCTTATGTGTAACAAATGGCAGCTTTCTTTAGTCAACACTTATAAGGGTTAGTCCTTTAAAATCCAAACTTCAATAAACAGAATTTCACAATCTAGATCCTTAAAATCTTGATTTAGTGTGAAAGCGCAATCAAAGACATGAGATGGCTGACCTGATCAGTCAGAATGCACATCAAATGAGATTGTACATTTTCCTTATTTATGAGTAGAAGTGACAAGGAAAAACAGCGTAAACCATACAAAAGAGCAAAATAAGGAGAGGCAGGGGAGATTAAACCGGCTTCATGCTTTCTCTTATAAAATAAAATCTTGGTCATCTTACATAGAAATATAGACTGCTACACAAGTCAGTTCATATGCTTATGAAGTCATAAAGAATGCATTTGGAAATTGATGATTTTCTAATTATAATTTACATATTAATAAAAATTAGTTTTAGGTAAGTTAAACACATGAAAAAAAAGTGGACAAACCAAAAAACCCAAAATATTTTCTCGGTTATTCATATTGGTCAATTAGGCTTCATTTGGGACGGTTTTCTTAATCCTTTCTAAAATCGCTTTTTAGTTAAAAAGTTTTTTTAATTAAAATTTTTTATGCTAGAAAGTTGTTTTAGAAAACAATAAGAAAGCCGTCCCAAACGAAGCCTTAGTCTAAAAGCATTATATTTCTTCAATGTGATCTATTAACTATACATAATTGATCTCAAATAGACCCTCATACACTAAATTGAGATCACTTTTATGTTCTAATTTTCATCCATTTTTATTTGAGAGATCATTATCATTTGAGATAATTTTTTATATATTTGAGAGACTAAATTAAATAAATATGACATTCTATATTAAATTGGTCACAACCACATAGTCTGGAAATTATTTTGGACTTTTTCTCATAAAAATAGAACAATTCTCATGCACTTAACGTTATTTAAAGAACTTGCTGTATCTGTGATAACTCTCATACACTTACAATTGGTTGCAGTGAAGCCAAAGAACGGGCAATCTTTCCTGCTCCAAAAGAAAGGAAAGGCCTAAACAACTTACATGGAAATTGTCCAATTGAAGGGGAGGTGGAGTGGCTCCTACAAAATGGATAAAATAAGGCCTACCCCTTATATGAAAATGTAGAGAATAGCAAGCTTGGACTGAGTGAAAGAAGCTCCAAAGACAATATCAAATTATCTACACGGTATGCTTCAAGGAATTGCTTATCTGCAAGTGCTGCTATGCTTGCAGATGTTGATTCTTTCAATTTTTCTGTTGATGTTTGAAAGATTTATGCAGACAAGTGCATACCTATATGGCTTGTGACATTTAACTGTAACTTATTCTAGACGCGGATTTGAGGAAGCCATTTTCATTTCAATATGTTGCTTGACATTATGTGGTATAAACTGCACTTTTAGCAATGTTTGTCATTTAGAGCCTATGAAATACTAATTGCAAAGGCTTGTTGAGGGGGCTAATAATCCTTACCCTTTTTACAAAAGAGAGATTTGATTGAGATATTGTAGTCATTTGGACATCTTCCTACCAAGAAGAATATAGGTTTACTCCCCCATGTTCACCGGCGGATTCAACATTAATTTTCAAGGGGGACAAATTTATCAGCAAAAGTGTAGAGTTTTTTTTTTTTCATAGATATCCCTACAACCAAAATGTGTTCCGAGGGCGTTGCCTCTTGACCCATATTTGTTCATTATTGTATACTTTACATATATGTCGGGGGTCCAAGGGGGCAGCACCTCCTAGCGGGGGATTCCAGTGGCAGCGCCCCCATAATAAATTTTGATTGTAAGGATATTTTTAGATTCTCTTTACTACTTTTTATTGTATTTGGTTTATCGTTCTCTAATAATAACATCTCTACACAATATGTTTAATAATGTTGGGGCAATTGCCTAAATACCATAATATTTTAAAACTTTTAGGGGGCAATTACCTAAAAACTTTTGTAATAAAGATTAAAAAATACATTGAGGACAAATTACTTAAAGAATCATATAATAAAATTCCTCCATGCTTAAGGTGGATTCGCCCATGCCCATGTTTAGGGGTGTCAATATTTGACACGACACGAAAACCTGACCCGAACCCGACCCGAAAAATCAAGGTTGGACCTGACCCGATTTCAAAACGGGTTGAGTTTGGGTTCCCATATTCGACTCGTTTGAAAAAACGGGTTGTGTTCTGGTTGACCCGGCGGGTTGCAGGGTCAAACCGAAAACCCGTTTAATTTAAAAATCTTGGATTCTCGCTTGCTGCACCACGCTGCTGCCCCCGCCCGCTCAAGCCCTCGCGTGTCGCGTCCGCCCCCTTGCCCGCCGTCTGCCCGCCGCCTTTCCGACCTTCCGGCACCGGCAGAACCCAAAACCGGATTGGGTCGGGTCAACCCGGCAACCCGCCAGGTCGGGTCTGGGTTCGGATTTCCGACCCGTTTGTCTACCCGGGTCAGGTTAGGGTCGACACGTTTGAACTCGGGTCAGTTCCGGGTTCGACCTGAACCCGACCCGTGACCCGAAATTGACACCCCTACCCATGTTGATATTCTTGATCTTCTTTTCTATCAATGCTTCCATCGGCAAAATGCCGATGCCATTGACAAACTTATGTGAATCCAATCAAACCCTAATGTATATAGCCCCCCATCTTATTGTGAATGCCATCTTTACAACCAATAACATCTTGGGTGGGTTAGTCAAATCGTATCGATATTATGAATTGGATTCACTCCTGTTACAGTTCATTTGAGTCAACTCAGTAAAGAAGCTTTAAGTCATCCAGAGAGCTATTCAATTAAAATTGCCTAAGATCTGGTCCTTCATTTGAAGCTCATCAAAAGCTAAGCATTAGATAACTGTTAAGTCAGCTAAATCTATTCATTTTACAACAATCATTTAGCTATATATTTTTTGCATCTTTTTCTGTCTCTTTAATTTTATTCGTACTTATTCGTCAAATTTTGATGTAACATGTAAGCATATTTAAACCCTAAATCATCAGAATGAATCTTGAATTTTGTTTTAGGAGTTTTTATTTTCTTATTTTTTTAAATCTTCTTGATTTGTTTTTGAGTGAAAATTTTTATTTTAAAAGCTTCACATTTTCTTAAGAATATTGAGGGAGCTAGATTTTTTTTTAATAGTAGAAAAAAATGGATTATTTTAAACGTAGAATTAATATTTTTTTAATTGTTGTAAAAACTTTAATTTTTTAATGAGCTCGTAAATTAATTATTTCAATTTTTTTTTAATTATCTAATTGGGGGTTTGGGGGGGGGGGTTAATGCCTCTATTAAATCTGCCTTAAGCGAGCATATGATGATAGTAATAGTTTTGAAGGAAATTGTTCATTTATGCAAAAAGAAAATTAGAGAGATTTATATACACATCACTCTATATTATTCTATTTACATATTTAACACTTAAAACTTTAATATTACATACATACTATTCATAGTTCATTTTTATATAAAATATGAGTGGTAGAAATGAAATATGAGTAACATATTTGATATTAAAATATATATGTAATATTAAAATTTTAAATGTTAGATATATAAATAGGATGTTATGGAGCGATATATGTAAATTTCCCAAAAAATTATCAACATGCAACATCATCGAATTGCTTGAAGTTGAACCCATACGAATCCGACCGTTTAGAAATTCAAATGCAACGGTCCAACCAAATAATATTTTGTCAGCAACCTAACCTTACGAGCTGTTTGAGTACATAGATTCGAATTCCATAGGAAAATAGCCATTTCTTCTTCAAGTCAATACCAACGCAAGAGCTCCCGGGTTCCGGCGGGCGCCGTGGTTTCTCGATGATTTCATACAACCATACTGCTCTCTTCGTCTTTCACCTCCTTTTATTCTCTGGAAGCCTCTTCCAGCAGGCTCTCAACTCCGAACATGGCTTCTCTCTATCTACGCATCGATTTTCTTTCGCTCCTCTTTTTCCTCTTCTTCATGTGTTCGCACTCCCTCCGCTTCGGAGTCTCTCGAAGAAAGGCGGAGGATAATCATTTCATCTACGATCCCTCTCGTGTTACCCAACTCTCTTGGAGTCCAAGGCACGAAAACCCTAATCATTTTTTTTTTCTTATTTTTTTTAGCAAAATGAATGGCTTCTTCTTTTCTCGTATCTTTAATTACTCGCTAATATGACTTTTGATAGCAGGGCGTTTCTTTACAAGGGATTTCTCTCGGAAAAGGAATGCGGCCATCTGATTTCTCTGGTAAGATCTAATAGTTGAATTTCTTCTGAATGATGGAGAGAGGGGAAAATAAGCGTTTTTTACTTTGATCCGAACGCTGTGTTTGGTGTAGGCAAAGGGTAAGCTGGAGAGGTCCATGGTAGCCGATAGACAGTCTGGATTCTGGAAATGCTATATTGAATGATGCCCGAACAAGCTCAGGGTATTTCTTCCGTAAGCGTCAGGTAAAGTTCCTTTCCTATGCCTAAGAACTGTGGTAACTCTTTATAAAAGTTTGTAATTTTTTTTAAAAGATTTGCTCATTTTATGAACAAATAAAAATAATTTTTAAATTTTGTAACCTGGGATAATAATTTATCATATTTTGTAACCAAGAACAATTAGCATTGGCATTCGTGTATGGGTTTCTTGAAATCCTCTTAAATCAAAAGTCTGGTATTCCAACTAGAGTATGTTATAAGTGATAGGTGTAAGTGAGCCGACTCGACTTGTTTATGAGCTTGAGACCCGAGCTTATGGAGCTCACGAGAGCTCGAGCTCAAACTCGAGCTCGTGTAGTATGCGAGCTCGAGTTCGAGCTTGAGTCGGCTTGGCTCGTGAGCTTGTGGGTCGGCTACTAAATGAGCTCGAGTTCGAGCTTGAGTCGGCTCGGTTCGTGAGCTTGTGAGCCGGCTCGAATAATAAAAAAATAATTTTATTTTATTTATTAAATTTAAATATTTTTAAAAATAAATAGTTTTTATTTAAATGTTAAACATTACTTATTTTTTTTCTAAATCTCACCTAAGTTTTAAAAATCCGGCTTAAGTTTTAAGAATCCGACCTAAGTTTTAAAAATTCAGCTTAAATTTTAAAAATCCCGCCCATGGCTCTTGAGCATGCTCGAGCTCGTTTACAGTTGGACGAGCTCGAGCTCGATATGGCCTAAACTCGACTTGACTTGACTCGTTTACACCCCTACGTGGAGTATAGTCGGCCTAAAATGAGCTCAATAAACTAGTAGATTAACACCCATCAATCTAAAAATTTATGTTAATGAGTAAGAGTGTTTTCTTATTTTCACTTGTGTATTTCAATGTAGTAATCTCCAATTTGTATATCACGGTTTCATTACAAATTCAAATAATTTAAGAACAAATTCTACCAGTATTAAATGGTTTCAAGAAGCATAAGCATGCATGTCAAGTTTTTTATGGTTCCAAGATATCTTGGCATGTATGCCAGAATTAAATTATCGCTGCTAGCAAAATAAGTTAAGTTGTTGTCCTTATTTACAAAATTTTTAATTATTGCACTTCTTAAAAAAACAACTAAAAAGAGATTTATTAAAGTTTCTCATAAAAGTTTGATTTATAATGCTTTCATTTCTTGAAAGTAGAAAGCATGGGTTGCTTCTGTTAAAAGTCAAGTTTATGAAGTGATGGCTTTCTTTTAATTACTTCATTTGTTACGTTTAATCATGATTTTTACATTTTAAAGTGTTTTGGCCATCAAATATTGGCTCACCACAGGACTTCAAGTAGCATTTTATAATGAGAGAAAAAAAGAATGATATGGGCTTCTATCCTTGTAAGGTTTTGCTAATATTGACAGTATATTGGTTGTATTTGACAGAAGTAATTCCACTGGGACTTCCTAAATGTTTTTTAATTGGAGATAATGTGTTGGGAGAACATATTTTTTTATTATTTGATTTTGAACTTCCAATCAAAAGGTTATCTATTCACTTGATTTAATATAAGTGGTGATGGATGTTGCAACTTTGAAGATAAGATGGTGGAAAATAGAATTAGGTGGTTTGCGCATGTCCAATGAAGGGAAGACCATGTATCAATAAGAATGGTAGATAAAAGTACTACCAAAGGGGTTAGAAGAAATGAAAAACCAATGATAGCATGAATAGAAGTTGTGAAAATAAAATTATAAAAGTCTTAACTACTCAATACTCATGTAATGTTAACCAAGAACCTGTGATGCACAGACGTGGATACGGCGACATGGATATGACATGACACGGACACAAGATATGCCAATTATTGAAAATATATGACACGGATGGTTGGACACTGTATTATAATTTTTATATTTTAATGTGGGCTCCGAAAATTTGTCCCCGGCCTCTGCTCGCTCTTTTCTTTCGGCGAGGGAGTTTGAATAAGTTCCGAGGTAAATTTTGGAAGGCAGATGGGTTTGTAGATAAGACACTACCCAG